TTCGTGGCGGTAAATTGGTTATTACACTCGGATTTTTCTGGAGTTGAAATTGAATCTGACTCGTTGGCAACTGTCTCTCTTCTCTGTCAAGAACATTTCTCTGCTCCTTTTCACTTCCTCACAAAGCCCATTAGGCAGGTCGCTTCTGAGAGAATATTTTCCTTCCATCGCTGTTATAGGCAAACGAACGAAGTGGCTCATTTTTTGGCGCAACCTTCATCTTCTTCTCGATCTCAGCGAATCTTTCACCACTCCAATAAGTTGTCGGTCCATATTCAAGGTGCTCTTCATCTTGACAAAGTGGGATGTTCAAGTATTAGGGTTTCCTAATTAGTTCACTTAGTTTCGTTGGTTTCTATTTGTTCGTTGTTTTCAGACAGAAGGATTACAGATAATCCGGAATCGGTTGGGCCAGCGCAATTTTGGACAGATCACCGACCCATGTCTTTTCTATTGTTTCATTGATCTTCTTTGTTTTATAGATTGGGTCAGGTCTAGCCCCCCCAATCTATTTTCTTTTGCCATTTTTCGTTGTATTTTGAGAAGGTATGCCTTCTCTGAAAAGGTATTGGTATAGTCCCCCTCTTTCTTTGTATGTCCTCATTATTTTAATAAAATACTGGTAAATGTTTCCCGACATTTACCCCACTGATTTTGGTGGTTTGCCTTTCGGGATAAAAAAAATCAATCATCACAAATATGGTGTACACACATTAATGATAAAACCAGTCCTATATATGCATACTCAAATAGTAATGTTTAACTTACAGGTCTGTCTTTATTAGGACATTTGGCCCTCTTGTGCCCCTCCAGATGACATATTCCACAGGTTTGGATTTGTCCTTTTTTGAAGCTCTATGGGATGATGTACTATCAACCATTTTCGAACCACTTCCAGGGCCTTTGACCTCATTTGAGCCTCTAACTCTGTTCTTCTTTGGTCTGTTAGGTAAGTTAGGAACTGAGGGAGGTAGAATAGGTTTATATTCATTCACTTTCATGAAAGCCTTGCCAGGGACATGATGCAAAGGGTATTGGTAAGATGCCATGTATGTTTCCTTATGGTACCACCTAGATATGTATGAAAGGGCATCTTCCTTCTTATAGTATAATGCACACAAGGCATGTAAGCAAGGAATGCCAGTCAATTCCTAAGCTCTGCAAGTGCAAATCATTTTATCTAACATCACAGTGCGTTTATCTTCACCCTCTCCAATCTCAAAGCCCACATCACCATTAAAAAATAATATTGCATCCTGCGGCAGCCTCCTTATTAGCTTGATAGTACTCCATGCATGTGGGAGACCAATCATTTATCCACTTTTCATGACTGCCCTTAAAACCAGAAAGCCTTTTCATTGCCTTCAAGTGTATATCTTCCAGTGTGGTGACAATGGGTTTTGCCCTAGCTTCTCTTATCCAAGCATTAAATGACTCTGTGATGTTATTATCAACCATCCAGCATTTGCTTTGGCTACTAAAGTATGCCTTGTACCAAGTTTGAATAGGATATTTCAAAACATCAGAAGCAACTTCATTACTCAATTTTCCAAGCCTTTTTAAGTTATTTTGTAGCTCTTCTTCATATGTGCTCCATGCACATATCCAGAATTTCTTACATAACTGGTCACCTCTCCATTTCTTTGACCAATTTGCATACACATGTCTATCACAAAACCTATGCTCTGCATCTGGGATCACATCTTGACCTGCAATGATTAACCCCTTTTGCATATATAAGATAAGGGTTAAATCAGAACCAGTCTTGAGATACAGTTCTTGAGCAAGCCAGGTTAGGAACCACCTCCAATTGGACTTATTCTCTTTTTCAGTTACAACCCATGCTATAGGAACCATTTGGCCATCTCCATCCACCCCAACTGCACTCAGCAAGATCCCCTTACACACTCCCTTTAAAAAAACATCAACCCCTATGATTCTCCTGCAACCTGCCTCCAATTCAGCCTCAAAGCAGCAAAACATATAAAACTCCTCTTAAAAACTCTCTTTCCTTCTTTCAATGCAGCACTACGTAATTCTATTTCAGCTTTAGAACCTGGATTACTTCTCTTTAAAGTGGATGCATAAGCCTCCAAATATCCAAACTCAACCTTATAGCTCCCATCCATCTCCTGGATAATCAGTCTCTTTGCTCTTTTGCATTTGTACAGGCTTACATTTATTTTTATTTTTTTAAATCCCGGTAGGCAAACCACCAAAATCGGTGGGGTAAATGCCGGGAAACATTTACCAGATTTTATTAAATAAAGGAAAATAATACAAAAAGAGGGGGGCTAGACCAAAACCCCTCCCTAGAAGGCATTCCTTCTAAAGTACAACAAGGGAAAATAAGAAAAGCATTAGGGGGATTAAACCTGACCCAATGCCAAAGAAAAAATACAAGGAAAAAATTAGAAAATTCTAAAGTAGCTCAAACCTAGCTTATCCGCTGTCTCATGTACGTAGTATATAATATTGTACGTATGTATATTGAAAGGTGGGTTCAAGAAAACGATTTTCTTCCAGAATCACTTGCACATATTTCATAATCCATTTTCAAATGAAATGTTTGTTCAATTTGCTTGTTGATGATCCAGACATCCTTTTTCTGTAGTGATTCCCGAATTCTTTGCATTAGCCACACTGAAATAAAAAATCAATATTAGTATATTTATTTTTGATAGTATGAATTGGGAAACATATAAAATGTAATAAAATATGAAAATGTATGGATCATATTTCTTTTATTTTTAACATTTTACTACTTTGTAGTGGAAAAAGGATGTGTACCTCGTAAGTCATGGAGGAAATATAGCTGTGTTAGAATCCCACATCGGAAAAGTTTGAATCAACAAAGTGCTATATTAAGACATGTGCTACTCCTCCTATCAGGTTGACCTTTTAGGATGGAATCTCAAGTCTTAACATGGTATCAGAGTCAAACCGATCCATAACCATGGTGTGGGCCCCCTATGAAAAATGACGACACGATTAAAAAAAATGACAATGACGAACCGACAAAAAAATGACTGATGACACGATCCAGACGAAGTGTCTAGTCGTGAGGAGGGATGTTAGAATTCCACACCGGAAAAGTTTGAATCAATAAAGTGCTATATTAAGACATGGGCTACTCCTCCTATCAGGTTGACCTTTTAGGATGGAAGCTCATGTTGTTTGTTCTTTTTTTTTGAAAGGAGCTCATGTTGTTTGTTGTTGGTGATTCACTCGTAATGCATCCCTATTTATAATGGAGATTGGTTCTGTGTTAATTTTGTATGTGTGTAATTTATCCCTTGGACAATAATTAGTATCAATTCAAAAATCTGAATTCAATAAATGTGGGATTCAATGTTTACCTACTTTCTTGGTTACATCAACCAAGTCTGCACATTTGACCAGTTGGCTCTTTTGCACGCCAACAAATCTTCCCCATTTATAGGCATTTAATGCCCGCTACTCGACCTGGCTTCACCATTTATTGTACATTAAAAGCGTAGTACTATTTCTCACCAAAGACTCAAACCCGTTTCCTCAAGCCTGACCCAATTACTGATCCTTTATTTTGGGCGGGAAAACAGCCTGCTTTTCCACCTCTTTTTATATAAAGGTAGATTTTTTTCAAAAATGTAAATTTATGAGGTTAATTGTATAATTTAAAATAGAAAATTAAAATTGTTGCAATTATATAGATTGGGGGTAACATTATTTATTTCGCAACGAAAGTTTATAATGTTAATTGTGTCTTCATTAATTCTAAAATATTTTAAAATATGCAATTAACACCATAAATTTACATTTTTGAAAAACATATTACTTGATTATGGTGCCAAAATAACTTTTTATATAAAGTTTGAGGTATTTAAAATACATATGCAAGTTTGAGGTATTCATCTCACACCCCTTCAAAGTTTGGGGTATTTTAATTATTTTTCCCATTTATTAAAGGTTAGTAAGAGTTTGTGTTGATGCAGTAAGAGTAATGCATAATATAAGTAAGAGTAATGCATAATATAACAAAATGTGAAAGAAGTATCAGAGAAGATGGAAAAGAATGAAATATAAGATGAAAGAGTAGAAAGATGATATTTAAAAGTTGAAAAATTAGGAAATATATTATGTTCTTGGTTGAATTGATTTGAACTCCGGATCACACAAGATGATGCCACACAAACAACTTCATACACTTTTAAAAACAAATTGCAATTCTTATCATGGGGGGACTGGAATGCCAACTACAACAGCTTCGCTTCTAAGTTCCAACCAACATGCTCATTATGGGTGAATATAATTAGCAGATTGAAGAACACTTTTATGTCCAATGGGGACAGCTATGGTACATACCCTAGATTAGGGATGGACTCGGGCCGGGTGGCCCGACCCGGAACCGGCCCGGGACCGGTACTGTTCCGGCCCGGCCCGACCCGGTGGCCCGGTCAGTGACCGGTCCGGGTAGGCCCGGTCAGTGACCGGTCCGGGTAGGCCCGGCCCGTGGGTTTTCCGGTCCGGGCTCGGGTCACCCAAAACAAGGTCCGACCCGGCCGGGCCCGGGCCCGATTCGGGCCAAAAACTTTTTTTTTTCAATTTTTTTTAATTTTTTGGGTTGGGCTGAATATTTTGGGCCATTTGGGGTGGTTTGGGGGTTGGGGGTGGGAGGGGGGTTAATTAGGAAGAGGAAAACAAAAAAAATATATAATGGGCCCGGCCCGGACCCGGACCGGACCCGGTGGTTACCCGGGCCGGTCCCGGGTCCACCATTTCTGACCCGCCGGTCCCGGGTCCACCATTTCTGACCCGCCGGCCCGCCCGGGCCTAGGCCCGACCCGGACCCGGCCCGGACCCGAGTCCATCCATACCCTAGATGAATCAAAAGAACTTTGAGGTAGCGAGTAAGAACCAAGAGATGGATAGTAATACTGCATATGATTATCGATGACAAGAGATACTCTTCTGTAAAAGGGATTTTTATACACAAACCCATTGTAACTTTTCAAAACACGCCAGTAAGTAGAAAGAGAAGTATATTCATGCACATGATGACATGAACCATAAAAAGTTGATCGTTTATATTACAAAGGAAATGAAATTCAAGAATCGCTTTCGATAGACAATGTTTAATAACCTGAATCTCGAGTACAAAATTGGTCTCTGCAATTTGAATATATATGCAAGCATGGAAAAAGAGCCTATCTGTACAATTGTACAAAAAAAATCAGAAACAAAGTGACCTATCAGCAAAGTTATAAAAAAAACTTGGTTTGCAACAATGCCTAAAAGGCCTCCAGGAAAGTGTACCATATGGATTGCATTAAGTACTTCCCACTTTCTGTAAAAGAACTTCAGATTTGACCATGGAAACAGAGAAGAGTAGAGAAAGAACCAATTTGATACAATGCTGAAGCACAAGGCAGAGAGTACATCTCACTCACAAGTTACACAACCACCTTGCACGTTTTTTATTAGCATTCATACGTTCCACAAGGGATGGAAGAGGCTCAGGTACAGGTACGTTCATAGACCGGTAAAACCTTCTCAAGCTTGCACTAAAGCTCTTTGACGATCCATTAGGTGTAATATCAGAAACACTTCTTTGTTGCTCCTTTAAATCATCTGTTGAGTTGCACTCCTCAGGTTTATAATTATGCATCTCCAGCTCCCATGTCTCCTCCCCCTCCATAGTAACATTCTCTGACGAGCCATTCTTTGATTCTTTGGATTTACTTAAGTCTATCTTAATTTCAACTGATGCATGATTCTTATCAGAAACCTTAGAGGCTTTATTGACTTCTTCTGCAAAAGAGGGATCCACCATCCCATGTCTAGCTCTACCAAATAAGGTGACAGGTGACCTTTTCTTCCTCGGAAGAGAAATATGCTGCACCTCCCTACTTGGTGATACTGCCAGTTGGGTTAAGATCTTACTATTACCCTCAGAGGTGACATCAGATGTGACAGAAGCTTCTTCCGGTATGCCTTGAGATGATGCACACACATCAATCTCCAAAAGTTTCAAAAACGGATCGTCCATATCACGCTTAAGGGTAAAGCAATGCTTCTTCACATAATCCAGTTCCATAGCCCTGCAAGTGGGAGTAGTCGAAACAACCCATCTGGGGGCAAGAATCTGTAGGGCCCACTCCAGTTCTTCCCTGGAAGAGTGTATTGAATAACAGACATGCCACACTCCAGACGTATCTCTCACTGCTTGGTCAAACCTTTCCTTTTTCTGTTTCTGCATGACTGAACACTCTTTGTCACCACATGCATACCACTGTGAAGAAGCACGGATTATTAGAGGCTCATTTTGAAGATTTGCCCGAGCTTCTGCAATCTTGGCTTCTGCCCTCTCATATAGTCCATGGAATCCATCAAACATTTGGAAACGAGAAACTGGGTCTTGAGATAGAATTTCAGGCACCAAAAGTTCTAGAGTCTGAAAAAATTGTGGGGTTTTCACTTTATCGACATATATCTTACAGCCAAAAGTTTTGGATATGCTCACTAGGATATCCTCTTGTCCAAGAAGATCACAAGTCAAATACACTGTTGGGGCATCAGGGTGCTTCCATATACAGTGTGTGACCTGTTTTTTGTAGAATTGTATGTCCATTAAAGTATTAACAAGTAAATTAAAGAAGGCGCAACATGAAATTGTGACAAGTGCAGCAACAAAAAGCCAGTGACCAATGGAAAACTGAGACAATACAAGTCAAGATCAAGAGAGATAGGTAAACATGAAACATTAAAAAGTCCAAGTGTTTAGGTTAATGACATTGAAATATCTTTATAATGTTAGCATACACCTTGACCCTTGGGGGGTGTTTGGTTAACGGATTGGGGGGGGTGGGGGGAGGGGGGGATTCCATTTTGCTTGCTAACGTATCTTATCTCTATTTGTTTCTGTTAGGATAATGGGCTTACGAGAATAATAATAATTAAGTGTGATAGTGTAATAGAGGGTCCTGGGCCTGGTAGTAGTTGGCCTTGACTGGCCCACTAGAAATAGAATAAATAAGGGTGAGTGGTGAGTAGATGGGGGGCAGAACTTGGGATCAGGACTGGGATATTGGGAGTGAGAGACCACTCGAAGAGTCTCAAACCTTTCCTTTCATGACTTTCTGTATTCCTTCACTAAATGTTCATTAATAAACTACTACTTTCTTCTTGGATTCTTCAGTTACTTATCATTGACTCACCCTTATTTATTCTATTTCTAATGGGCCAGCCCACTTCTAATAAGTAACTGAAGAATCCAAGAAGAAAGTAGTAGTTTATTAATGAACATTTAGTGAAGGAATACAGAAAGTCATGAAAGGAAAGGTTTGAGACTCTTCGAGTGGTCTCTCACTCCCAATATCCCAGTCCTGATCCCAAGTTCTGCCCCCCATCTACTCACCACTCACCCTTATTTATTCTATTTCTAGTGGGCCAGTCAAGGCCAACTACTACCAGGCCCAGGACCCTCTATTACACTATCACACTTAATTATTATTATTCTCGTAAGCCCATTATCCTAACAGTTTCTTAGAGACAAACTAGAAAAACACTACTCTATGTGTATAGCTAAAAATTGTATTTGTACAACTTTCCATCTTCACTTTCTTTACAACCATCTAAGAGTCTGTTTGCAAACGTTTAAAAAAACGTTTCTCGGCTTTTAGCTTAAAAAGCTAAAATTAGTGTTTTCAAGTGACAACTTCTACTTAAATTAAACACTTAAAAGTTAAAAGCTGAAAATTGCTTTTTACTTTTTCTATCACACAAAAAAGCACATATTTTACCAAACACTACTAACTTTTACTTTTCAAAATCAATTTTTTCTCAAACACTATCAACTGTTATTATTAAGCACTTTTCCAAAATCACTTTGAAAAGTCACTTTTTTTAAAGCAATTGCAAACACTCCCTAAATGTAAGAATAAATTAGCAAAAGCTATATAGCCCATCCTCTTCCTTTGAAATCCTTCAACCGAACAAGGGTTTAATGGAACAAATATAAAGTATACCTGTTGGATTGCTGACTGCTTGGTGGGCATCCTTGATGGGAACTTACCAAAAGTACAATCCAGGAAAACACAATCAAGTGGACACCTAGGCTCTCTTCCTTTCTTCCCGACATACTTCTCTGGCAATCTTCTTAAACACTCAATAGTAAGTCTGCAATCGCCGGTATGCAAAATGTTACCAAATATCCCTTCAAATAAGAACATAACAGCTCCTGCAAAATAAAAAATATGAACTTCTAAGCAGTAACAGTTAGCTCTCAAATCCCTTAAAAAGGACCAGTTCGGTGTAGCTATCACTGTTTTGAATTAATCTTTATGATTTTGAGGCATGGCATATGTTGTATACTAAGCTAAAAAGTCATACTTCACAGTTTTGATTAAAATTTTGAAAATAATCCTACTTAAGAAACAATGTTTCATGTGTCAGACTGTCAGTTCATGTTAGCATACCCCAAACTCTTTTGGGAATAAGGTTTGAAACTTCTTGATAATAAAGTTTGGAAACTGCCAGTAAGAAAATGAAAAACAACTTTTCTAGATTGGAGAATTTTGTAAAACTAATAATAATCATACTTATAGTAGTACGGAACTAGGCCTTACGGGATTGAGCACATACAGAACCGCTAAAGACTTTATTTTTAAAGGGTCCAATTACTTATAGAAAGTCCTTACCGGGACAATGATTGGCATCAAATGCGGTGACCGTGAATTTGCCATCGGGATCCTCAATCTCCAAACTCTGCTCCATCTCAATAGTCACAAAGACTGATCCGTCAAGCTGCGGAGTGAAGAATAATAAAACGAGCAGAAAACGCAGAATCAGAGAAAGTACATAGCCAGAGAGAGGAAGAAGAAGAAGAAAGATAGCGCAATTAGACATGCCTGAGGGTAATGTTGAAGGACAAGAGTCTTGGTGATAAGGGTGCAGTAGATCGGATAAGAGGCGTGAGTGGAGATCCCTTGAGTGTGGTCTTTGTGGGCATGCGTGAGGAAATGGTGCCGCTTTCTGCTCGAATTCGGCGACCATGTGTCTACCGAGAACGGTAAACCTTTCAGCATCTCAATCGTCATCTCTCTCACTCTGTGGCTCTCTCTGAATGGTGGGAGAATTTGGGGCGATGATTGCAGGAGGAGGGAGATCACATTTGATTACTCCGTTTGAGAGGGAAAATTGTTGAAAATGAGTGAAGGCGGCCTTGGCGGGTGAGAGAACCGTCGAATAAGCCCTTCAAACTTTTTCAAACTTTATAAGCACTTTTATATGAGGTTCTGTCCGGCCGTCGCCATTTGGAGCGGTTTCCGGTGGAATTTTTTGATGAAATTTTTTTAGCATCTTCTTCGTTAAGTCTAGTTTACCCATACCAAATTTCAGCTAAAAATTCAAACGAGAAGACAGCCAAATGATTTTCTGAAATATACTGCGCTGCCTAACTGCGTAGTTATCTTCAAAAATTCATTTGTCTGCCTTCTCGATTGCATTTTTAGCTGAAATTTGGTATGAGTAACTAGACTTAATTAAGAAGATGTTAAAAAAAATTCATCAAAAAATTCCACCGGAAACCGCTCCAAATGGCGACGACCGGACAGAGCCTCCTATAAAAGTGCTTATTTGCACTTTTTATGAAAGTTCGAGAGCTTATTTGGTAGTTCTCCCTACACAATTTGAGTGACAACTTTGGTAGGTCACAACTCCATACCCATTTAAAAATGATAAGGTACGGTACCCCCATTTTTTAAATGGGTATCGGAGTTGTCATCTTTAAAAAATGGGGTACCGTAACTACCATACATTTGATTGGTCCAAATCATTATATGCTTTTTAATTTAGATTTAAATAATTCAACTGCATCATTCGTATTGATTCATTTGGACAAAAGTACGGTACATTTGGGTTACTATAGAATCTATCTTCATTTAAATGGGGTGTCATACCTCTCATTTACTTTTTTTTATCGTCGAACAGAAAACTTATATCAAGAGATCATTCGCCGATTGGCTATAAATGCATTCAGGAATAATGTCAAAACTAAACGTATGATCTGAGAGATCAACACGTGACCATGCCAAAACATGTGTCACTGTGTTCGCAGACCTTCTACAAAAAGAGACCTTCCAGTTACTCTTTTTTTTAAACCAAGTCTAGCTTTTATTTGAGTGAATAATGTTTTACATCAGTTCCCAAATGGGGGAAAGGAAAGAAAAAAAAAAAACCTAGATGAAATTGCAAAAAAAAAAAAAGAGCTATTGTAATGTAGAATAGATTTTCCCAGCGATGCAATAGGTTATGCGGCCCAAAAGAACAGTCCAAAACTGGGATGACCCAGTCTGATTATGAAGCTAATCCGTCCAAGGAATATCGGTTCAGTAGGGTTAAGCACCAGAAATGTGGTAGAGAGAGAGAGAGAGAGTTAATCGTTTCTTCCATTTCGTTTTCATAGTTCTTCTTTGAAGGGTTACGGTTATCAGCCAGTGTCTCTAAACAATGCAGCTCCTTTTTTATCCTCGAAGTAAGATTTTTTTGCCCTTGTGGGTAGATCTGTTGCAGTGAAGAATATCGGGTCGTTGTTAGGGTTTCCGAGTCCCTTTTGAGCAAGATGGTGTGCTACATAATTAGCTTGGTGAGGACGATGAACGATGTGGATGCCTTTGTTTCGCCTCATTTCATTGATCATTGCAACCTCATTTCTCAAATACTCAGGTATGTTCGTCGATCCCCTTAACATTTTAACACTAATTTCAGAATATGTTTGGGTTTCGAACTGAGCGTAACCTTTTCCTACCATGATTTGCATTGATGTACTGATGGAGGTTATTTCTGCGTGGAGGGGGTTGCGAGCTGTAAAGCTGAAGGATGTGGCATGTACCAGATTTCCACCACTATCCCAAAGGATTCCACCACATGTTGCCTTACTTGCAGTGAATGAAGCGTCAGTGTTGAGGGTAAGTCTCTAGTGTCTTCTATGTGCCACCTTATGTGATGTTTTGAGTTTGTTTTTTGGTTTTTGAGGTATGGCACCAACCCATCCGAGTGAAGGTCTGGATCGAACTGATATCCTTTTTTGGCGGCGTTAGCATAAACCCAGTCTCTGGTGTATGTTTTTATCGCCATTATTGTGATGCCTTTGGAGATTTTTTTATTGTCCCACACACATGCATTGTATGATTTCCACACATTCCATAAGATTATACCCGACATTGCTTGACGAATAATATGTTGAATTGTAGGTGTTTTACCACCTAGCCACCATAGGAACACAGTCTGTCGTAAATCTTCGTGGTCAGTCAACCTAACCTGCAAAATGGAGGAAAAATAGACCCAAGTAGGTCGAATTAGAGGGCAATTGAATAGACAGTGGTTCAGGCTTTCTTGACGGTTGCAGCAGAAGTGGCACCTCGTAGACATGCTTATTTTGAATCTGTATAGGTTTTCTGGGAAGGGTAGTATGTGGTTATTGACCTTCCATAGAAAGAGTTTAAGCTTGAGTAGAACCACCCCCTGCTTTAAGAAATTGGCCACCGTCATCTCATGCTACCCATCCCCATGCACGAATCCCCTTCGATGTATTAACGGCCCCATCTACTTTAATCTTTACAACCCTCGACGTTGGCTTTTTTCCATCTGCTCTCTTCCCCCCGGCGCTGCTGTTTACTGACTTGGGAACCAACCGCTTCATTCGCCCTTTTCCAGGCAGAGAACATGCTTGACGCCATAAAGATGACTTCACCTGCTCCCATCTCATTTCCATTTCACACTACTTCATTGCGTCTTTTCCAAATGCACCAAGCAACCGCTAGAAACATGTTGCTCTTCTCCTCAGTTAAGTTAACGTAGAAATCTGATGTTTAAACCAATCTTCAAAAACATATTGATGGCGCTGCACCCGAACCCCTGCTTTCAGCCAAACTTCCTCTATCTTTGGACACACTCGTAAACCATGATCAGTGTCCTCCTCCTCCGCCACACATAGTTTACAACCTCCAAAAATATTCACCCCTCTTCGACGAATAATATTGCTCACCGTATGAAATGATCCATCAACTACTTTCCATGCCAGATATTTAAATTTTGGAGGAGCTTTAATATCCCACAATTTCCCCCAACCATTCCAATCACTCGTCTGCTCTCCCATCAATATTCTATAACAACTTTTAACAGAATAGTTTCCATTCCGTTCCCCTGTCCACCAAAGACCATCCTTCCAATCCATAAGACTGATAGGAATACTTAATATTTGCGTTTCCTATCCTCTTGATTAAACCAATTATTAATTCTTTCATGGCACCAATTGTTACCCGTATGACCCTTCAGGGCCGCCACATTCATATCCCTTATACCTGCCGGTTTTTCTGAAGATATACAACCACTATTCCCCGGTAACCAAGAATTCGCCCACATCTGTGTATCAATACCATTCCCAACTCTTTTTCTTACATGATTTTTCAACACCATTTGAGTTTCAAATATGCTCCTTGTAAGGAATAATTGTAATTAGATTTTTATGATGTTATATTAATTAGGATTTTAAAGTACCCCGTTTTAGAAGAGTGTATTAGAAATTTTCCTTGTGTAATGTTTTTCTTAGAATAGTCAACTAACAGAAGACCTCCAGACAGAAGCTCTCTTGATCCTCTGGTGATAGCTTTCTAACAGAAGTCCTCCTGGCTCTTTGTTGGACTTCGCTAGAAAAGAAGCACATAGGCCCTCTGTTAGTCTATACCTTGACAGAAGGACTAGGGACCCTCTGGTAGCCTTTTCCGACAGAAGTGCTCGAATCCCTCTCTGGTTGATTCTCTGCTAAAGTCACCAGAAGGCTTGACACTTGGAGTATTTTATAAAACTATCTAAGTCGGTGTTTGCAACGGAAGATTCCTTCAACGGCTAGAAGACTTGAACGGAAATGCTACAGTACGCACATTAAAAGCACATTTAATGCAACCCATACGCTGAAGAGTAAATGCAGATGATTGGCCGAAATGTCAGGATAACTTTATCCCAAAATAGCAACTCGCCAACTTTACCGGGTCTTACTGGTCAAGTCAACAGTTCGCGCATTTAATGCAGTTGTCCTCCTCCTCCAACGAGAAGACAACCCCAATATAAAAGATACTCTACGAAGAACAACCGGATAACTTTGTTCAACTTCACTCAAAAATTATTAAAACCTACTCGCAAGCTTTCTTGAGACCTGAACTTCATCTTCCTCAACATGAAAAGCTTCAATTGGAAAGATTATATTTTCCCATCTTCATATTCCAACCCGAGCAAAGTTCCAACTGTTCTTCAACACTTCAAGCACTTCATCTACACATCTTTTGTGACGAAGCAAGTTGGAGAATCCCCTGTTCTTTCAAGAACTCTTCTTTAACGAGAAGGACGTCCAAGTAACTCGAGTAGTGAAGTGGGTACACTTCAAGGAAGCTCAGTGAAAGGACTAGTCTTAAAGGAAGCAAGGAAGTGTGTCACTGGAGACATCTAGACTTGAAGAAGACGTGGAGAGATTCTTAAGTGCTAGGACTAAGGTTGTGTAATCTGCGTTTTTACAAGCTTAGTGGAACAGTGGATTAGAGGAACAGGTTGTTCCTTGAACCACTATAAAAATCCCTGGTGTCATTTACTTATTGCATTTATTTCTTGCATTCTTTTTAAACTGTTTAACTCTAGAAACTTGGTCTCTGTGTTCAGCAGAACCCGTCCTGTGAGTTAACAGAAGGCCTATTGCCTTTGCATCTTTTAGAGGCTAACCGAACAGAATCCCTACGAGAATATCATCCGCTGCCAGCCTGTTCTACCAACAGAACAAGCTATTCTGTTAAATCTGGTACTTAGCTTGAAAAAGTTAAAACCCAGTACAGTCTATTCACCCCCCTCCCCTCTAGACTGTACCCAGTACAACAGGGACCAACAAGTGGTATCAAAGCCTCCTTCTTCTAATAATCTTTTAGGTTATTTGCTGAACAAAGATCCACTTGTTTTCTTTTTGCCTCTGTTCTAATATCATATAATGGATCACTCTCTTTCCAAGAACCTTATGTTTTCAGATCTTAAGTTTGATGATTGGAGGATCCGGATGAAGGCACATCTCTGTGCTCTTCATGATGAAATGTGGGAAGTACTTGACATAGGGCCATCACCAACTTCTAGAAGGTGAACCCCGAGCATGCCATAGATAACACACGACCACAGATGATCAACAAAGCCAAATCTGAATGGACCACTGAAGAGAGGA